ATAGAGTATCAATACCCACAGTATCAATAACACAGAGTATCAATAACATAGAGTATCAATACCCCACAGTATCAATAACACAGAGTATCAATAACACAAAGTATCAATAACACAGTATCAATAACACAGAGTATCAATACCCCACAGTATCAATACCCCAAAGTATCAATACCCCAGAGTACCAATAACACAGAGTATCAATACCCCACAGTATCAATACCCCAAAGTATCAATACCCCAGAGTACCAATAACACAGAGTATCAATAACATAGAGTATCAATACCCCACAGTATCAATAACACAGAGTATCAATAACATAGAGTATCAATACCCCACAGTATCAATAACACAGAGTATCAATAACACAAAGTATCAATAACACAGTATCAATAACACAGAGTATCAATATCCCACAGTATCAATAACACAGAGTATCAGTAACATAGAGTATCAATAACATAGAGTATCAATACCCCACAGTATCAATAACACAGAGTATCAATAACACAGAGTATCAATACCCCACAGTATCAATAACACAGAGTATCAATACCCCACAGTATCAATACCCCAAAGTATCAATACCCCAGAGTACCAATAACACAGAGTATCAATACCCCACAGTATCAATAACACAGAGTATCAATAACATAGAGTATCAACACCCCACAGTATCAATAACACAGAGTATCAATAACACAAAGTATCAATACTCCACAGTATCAATAACACAGAGTATCACTACCCCAGAGTATCAATACCCCAGAGTATCAATACCCCAGAGTACCAATAACACAGAGTATCAATACCCCAGAGGACCAATACCCCAGAGTATCAATAACCCAGAGGACCAATACCCCAGAGTATCGATACCCCAGAGTATCGATACCCCAGCGTATCAATACCCCAGCGTATCAATACCCCAGAGTATCAATAACGCAGAGTATCGATACCCCAGCGTATCAATACCCCAGAGTATCAATACCCCAGAGTATTGATACCCCAGCGTATCAATACCCCAGCGTATCAATACCCCAGAGTATCAATGACCCAGAGTATCGATACCCCAGAGTATCAATACCCCAGAGTATCAATACCCCAGAGTATCAATAACACAGAGTATCACTACCCCAGAGTATCAATACCCCAGAGTATCAATACCCCAGAGTACCAATAACACAGAGTATCAATACCCCAGAGGACCAATACCCCAGAGTATCAATAACCCAGAGGACCAATACCCCAGCGTATCGATACCCCAGAGTATCGATACCCCAGCGTATCAATACCCCAGCGTATCAATAACCCAGATTATTGATACCCCAGCGTATCAATACCCCAGCGTATCAATACCCCAGCGTATCATACCCCAGAGTATCAATGACCCAGAGTATCGATACCCCAGAGTATCAATAACCCAGAGTATCGATACCCCAGCGTATCAATACCCCAGAGTATCAATACCCCAGAGTATCAATAACCCAGAGGACCAATACCCAGAGTATCGATACCCCAGAGTATCAATACCCCAGAGTATCAATAACCCAGAGTATCGATACCTCAGCGTATTAATACCCCAGAGTATCAATAACCCAGAGTATCGATACCCCAGCGTATCAATACCCCAGAGTATCAATAACCCAGAGTACCAATAACCCAGTGTGTCTGTGTGTCTCAGTCCTCAGGCTGCAGCGATGTCTGTTTCTTCTGTCAGAGGAAAGTTTACCTGATGGAGCGTTTGAGTGCCGAAGGTTTATTCTTCCATCGCAGTTGCTTCCAGTGTTTCCACTGCAGCACCACACTGAGGCTGGCTGCATACGCCTTCGACCAGCACACAGGTGAGGTTCACCATCACCACCGTCACTATCACCACCACCATCACTATCACTACCACCATCACCACCACCACCATAACTAGTACCATCATCACCACACCACCACCACCACCATCACCCCGTCACACACACCATTCACTATCACTACCACCATCACCACACCACCACCACCACCACCACACCACACCACAACCACCACCACCACCACCACCATCACCATCACCACACCACCACCACCATCACCCCCGTCACTATCACTACCACTATCACTACCATTCACTATCACTACACCATCACCACACCACCACCACCACCACCATCACCATCATCACCATCACCACACCACCATCACCACACCACCACCATCATCACCATCATCACCATCACCACACCACCACCACCACCATCACCCCCGTCACTATCACTACCACTATCACTACCATTCACTATCACTAACACGATCACCACACCACCACCACTACCACCATCACCACACCACCACCACCACCACCATCACCATTGTCACTATCAATACCACCACCACTACCCCCATCACTTTCACTACCACTATTGCTACCACCATCGCTACCACCACCATCATCACCATCACCACACCACCAACATCACTATGACCACCACTACCATCATCACCATCACCACCATCACAACAACCACCACCACCACCATCACTATCACCACCATCACCACACCACCATCACCACACCACCACCATCATCACCATCACCACACCACCACCACCATCACTACACCACCACCACCACCATCATCACCATCACCACACCACCACCACCATCACCCCCGTCACTATCACTACCACTATCACTACCATTCACTATCACTACCACGATCACCACACCACCACCACCATCACCATCATCACCATCACCACCACCACCACCATTATCACCATCACCACACCACCACCACCATCACTACACCACCACCACCACCACCACCACCATCACAACAACCACCACCACCACCATCACTATCACTATCACCACCATCACCACACCACCACCATCACCACACCACCACCATCATCACTATAACCACTACTACCATCATCACCACCATCACAACAACCACCACCACCACCATCACTATCACCACCATCCCAACAACCACCACCACCACAACAACCAACACCATCATCATCGTCACCACCATCACCACCACAACCACCACCATCACAACAACCGCCACCACATGGTGGTTCACATACCTTTTCCTTCGACTGTGTACATGAACAGAACAAGGGTTTTTATTCTTTATTGATTTCTGTCTCTGTCAGCAGCTGAGTTAAAACAGCCTGAGGATCAGTGAACTCATGATATGTGTTTAAATCTGATATCAGATATTTCTAAATATACAGATATCAGAGAGCAGCAGGTGTAACGAGCTCTCAGCTGTCAGTTATGCGACCACATGTGTCGCTGGGTGACCACATGATGCCGTCATGTGACCTTAGTGTGCAGTTAGAGCCCGGAGCATCACCTCCACATGCCGCAGTATTTTTACCCATAAAGCTGGCATTGTGCATCTGATTAAAGCCCTCAGCAGCCAATCAGAGCGGAGGTTGGGGCATGTTTGAATGTTGGTATAAAAGCGGCCTGAAGTTGAGTCTGTGTGAACGTCTGCTGTCTCCTCAGCGAGGTTCTACTGTCTCCACCACCTGGACGCTCGTCTGAACGCTGTGAGGCAGAGAGCGAGCGACAGAGCGACTGCACAACCCACGCCACCTGTGAGCAAACCTCCTTTACTTATACCTAATATTACTCATGTTACTGTGTACTTCTACTGCGTTTCAGAGGCACACGTGGTACTTTTTACTGCATGTGTTTAACAGCTACTTTAAGGTTTAACTCATCACAGAGTACTTTTGTTCTGAGTGCAGTACTTTTACTTTAAAACACCTCAGTACTTCTGTGTTGCTGCGATGTTCAGGTGGTTACCAGGACGACCCAAGTTACTGATCACTCAGACTGGGTGTGTTTGTTTCCCTCACAGGCGTCTCTGGGCTCAGCCCCATCACTCTCCTCTGCAGACTCTCTGATGACCGCTGGTCGTCGTCGCTCTTCAGGTGAGTTCACGTCACCTGCCTCGCCCTTTCAGTTTCATACCTGTTCACACTGAACATGCTCCTTAAACTGGAATCAATGTGGGCTTTAGTGTGTGTGTGTTTCTGTGTGTGTGTGTGTGTGTGTGCGGCTGTGTTGGTGTGTTTGCAGTTGTTTCTGTGATGGTGGCGACGCCTGAGAGGATCGAGCTGGAAAACTACCGCCGGAGCTCGACGAAGATGGAGACGGAGCTGCTGGAGGAGCCTGAGGGCCCCGAGGAGCCCGAGGAGGTCTCTGAGGAGACCCTGAACCGGTTCAACCTGAGCCTGGACGAGAAAATCAACCACAGGTCCAGGTGAGAGTCAACCCCGTATGGAAGGTCTAAGTTAAACTGCATTTGTAACTTTAAACATCTCAATTTTAAATGTTAAAATCATGTTTGACTTTATAATTCAAAATCATAATAAACATCAAAATTATAACTTTTTATGGCATCATTCATCAAAACTAATCAGAAGGATGTTTTTGATTTTGTTGGCAGTATTGGTCAGAGCTATTTAACCCCAGATAAATTAATAATTAATAAATATGCCTATGAAATAAAACCTGGAATAAATAAATGAGGCAATAAATATATTTTAAAAATATAATAAATAAATAGCTTTTTAATTTAAAAAGGAGCTTTTTCAAAGGATTTTTATATATTTCATAAGCCCACATTCCCCGAAATCAATAAAAATCCTTTGTCTGTGATTTCAGTTCAGAGTCTGAGATGGAGGAGGACGAGGAGGAGGACAGCGGTCGCCCTCGAGTGGCTTCAGAGGAGGCCAGAGCTTCATGGGGGGAAGCTCTGAAGCTCCACCTGAAGGACGAGGAGGAGGAGGAGGAGGGGGAGGAGGAGGAGGAGGAGGAGGAGGAGGAGGATGAGGATGAGGAGGAGGAGGGACGAGGACGAGGAGGAGGGGGAGGGGGACGAGGACGAGGAGGACGAGGACGAGGAGGAGGAGGTAGATGAAGAAGAAGGAAGCAGTGAGGTGCAGTCCAGTGATGGTGAGTCAGTTTTTGTGTTACCTGCTTTCTGTCTGTAGTTTGAGTCCTCTGCTGGTTGTTGTTGTTGTTGTTGTTGTTGTTGTTGTTGTTGTGTTTTCTTATGATGTTGTGATGTCGTGCTGTGTCTCCCCCTGCTGGTAGAGGGGGAGTACAGCCCCTGGGACATGGAGCGACGCTCGGGCTTGTGGCTCCTGTTAGAGGAGGAGACAGGTAGAATCCAAACTTACCAAACTACATTCATAAAAACATGAAATTTAGATGAGCATCACCGCATTAACACACAGCATTAAGCTGATTTCTGTGCTGTCATGTGACCATTTTAACAACACAAATATTATTTTAACCAGCTGCAGATCAGCTGTTTGTTTAACACGGTTTGTTTTTTTTCATCCTGAGGGTCGCAGTAGCAAAGAAACACTGAGAGGAAAAGGCTGATTTTTTCTGTAATCACTGGGGGAAAATAATCTTGATCCCTCACCAATATGTGTTACAAATGGAGGTGTGGAGGAAGAGGAGGCTGTTTGCCTAATCACAGACACTGAGCATTATGGGAAATGTAGGATCCAGTGTTTTATAGTCAGGAGTCACCACCTCAGCCCCCCAACACCCCCACAATACAACACCTGAAAGAAAGAATAGTTTATATTTATGTTGCTGTTTGAAAGCCTTTTGCACTTGGCTTCTATAATCTACCTGCCATGTGTAAACTCACCGCGTTGTTTCTTTCTTTTTTTCCTGGTACCTAAATTTAACGCCCTCTGTGGGAATCTGTCATTTTTTACTAAATTACGATTTAAACAAAACAAATTATAAATGTGGAGTTTTGTTGTCGCCTAATTTTGATTTGAAATATTTACTTTTCCCTCAGAGGAGAAGTTTTCTCTCGTCTCTCAGAACATCTCCTCAGCAGCAGGAAGTGACATCACACACTGTGACACACCTGTGGAGCCTGACTCCACCTCCAGCTTGCTGCCCTCTGCACCTCCATCTGAGACTCCGCCCTCCACCGCCTCCTTCGTCACCACGCCAGACTCCGCCCCCGACCGAGACACAGTTCTGCCAGTGATGCTCACACCTGTCGGCGTCATGGGAACGGCTGCTCAGAGACACGCCCTCCTACAACCTGCTAGGGGGCGGGGCTCGTTTGACGATATCAGCCCCGAACTGCCGCCAAAGAAGCCCCTCCTTCTGCAGGAGAGAGGGGCGGAGCCAGAGGAGGAGGGGGCAGCATCAGAGGGGGTGAGGAGGAGGAGGAGACAGAGAGGAGCCCGCAGCCTCCCCCCTCGACTCCTCCTCCCACCTCTGCAGGGGGGGGGCAGGGCTCTCCTCCTCCAGCTGAAGGGGCTCAGAGAGGCTCCATCCCCTGTACAGGTAGGAACAGAAGGGGGCGGAGCCAGAGCCCTGTGGAGGTCGGTGTTCTCTGGAAACAGGAAGGAGAAGAAGTGGGGCGGGACTTTACCTGCAGAGAGGGTGAAGAAGGACCCAGCCAATCAGAGGAGAGCTGCAGGTGATGATGTAATAAATAAACACATATAGACAGAGTGAGGTCACAGTGATGAGGTAATGATTGTACTTCCTGTGTCTTCAGACGCGAGAGGAGGTCTGACAGAAGAGTCGGATCTGGACTCATCGGATCTGCTGCAGAGGTGTTCGCTGAAACCCAGAAACAATGTAAGACTCAAACACACAGCAACTCACAGCACCTTCACCACAGGGTCCAGGGTCTGAGTGTCCAGGGTCTGAGGTCACAGGGTCTGAGTGTCCAGGGTCTGAGGGCACAGGGTCTGAGTGTCCAGGGTCTAAGGGTCCAGGGTCTGAGGGCACAGGGTCTGAGTGTCCAGGGTCTGAGGGCACAGGGTCTGAGTGTCCAGGGTCTAAGGGTCCAGGGTCTGAGTGTCCAGGGTCTAAGGGTCCAGGGTCTGAGGGCACAGGGGTCTAAGGGACTAACAGATATCTTCATCAATTCAGGACACATTTACAAAATAATTCAAATAGACACGTATAGAATGTCTATCTATATATACATTCATATATACATACGGAAGCCCTAATCAAATATTTTTTACTCTGTTTTCCTGTGATAACAGGATAATTTTCTCGTGATTTCAAGATAACCATAATGGTAATTATAGTGTGGTTTGCAGTATCATTGGTTAGCACAGGACTTATAGTCTTACTGTAAGGTTTTGTGTTCAATCAATTTAATCATAATCCTCTTCAACAATTAATTATTCCGTTCTCAGGAGAAAACAACATTCCTTATATATATATATATATATATATATATGTATATATATATATATATATATATACTGTTCACTGGTATTTATGGTCTTGTGGGAGAATGGTCTGAGTGTTGCTACTGTGGTGTTGTTGTCTATACTTACTTTATTTATGGTCCGTTGATCTGAGAAATGCACCAAAGCGACCGAGAAAAACTGTAAAGCACTTCTGTTTTTAGTTTAACCAGCGGAGTTAGTCCTTCAGCCCAGCAGGTGGCAGCAGAGTCAAAGGGACCCTGAACCAGCTTTAATCTGTTGGGTTTGGGTCAGATGACCTCAGGAGGGCAAAGGGGTCTAAGGGACTGGGGTCTAAGGGTGCAGGGTCTGAGGGTCCAGGGTCTGAAGGACCAGGGTCAGAGGATCTAGGGTCTCAGGGTGCAGGGTCTGAGGGTCCAGGATCAGAGGGTCCAGGGTCTGAGGGACTGGGGTCTAAGGGTGCAGGGTCTGAGGGACCAGGGTCTGAGGTAACGGGGTCTGAGGGACTGGGGTCTGAGGGTCCAGGGTCAGAGGGTGCATGTTCTGATGGTCCAGGGTCTAAGTGTCTGCACAGCTGTGGTAAACCCTCAGGTGTGAGTTGATCTGGAGGAAACATGTACAGGCTGAATAACAGCGACCCGAGAATCAAACCCTGGGGGACTCCACACTCAGATCTATGCCTTCAAGATCTGATCTGAACCACACCCTCCCCGCATAGTATCACCATCTCCACTAAGATCCTGTTGTGTTTTACATGCTGAGTTCAGGATCAGACTAATAACTGGATTCTGGATCTTGTTCTGGTGTTCGTAGCTGCGTTTGGAGCTCTTCGACCTCACGTCTCAAATCCAGAAGGTCACAATAAAAGAGGAGGAGGAGGAGAACCAGGAGGTATCAGCTGTCCTAGATTTAGGAATCTGTGCTGAGTGTTTAGGTTTTCGTGCTGGTTTAGTTTTCAGTGATTTGTACTGACCAACAGCTGCAGACTTGGACTTGGACTTGCTGAGACGTGACGTGTTTTGAACCTGGTGAGCTCCCAGAATATTTATATTATCTGACCTCTGCATTGAAACAATGTTTGCTGTCAGTAAATAGCTTCAACAGCCAAATGTCCAAAAGTCCTTCAGTCTGACAGTCGGCACACATGAAAGACTCGACTTCCGTTGACGGAATGGAGACTTTTCTCCTCTAACTTGATACTAGATTGACTCGACTGATTTAAGACTTGTCTTGACTGACTGATTAGTTTTGACTTAACGTAGTCTGAAGTCAGTCGACAAATCCCAAGTCAGACAAGACCAGCCTAACTTGTACTGACTGACTTGTTCTTGTCTTGACTTACTGACTTTCTTGAGCCTTGACGTGGACTGGATCACTGACTGGAGACTAGACTAGAATCTTTTAGTACCGTGTTTGTTGAGACCCGAGGTCTAAATCCATCTTTAAATGTCTTTATGTCCTTCGTGTCTCTCAGCCTGCCTATGTTCCTCACGCTCTGGCTTTTAAACGAGCGTACGCCATCAAGGTACAGAGCCGTTATCATGAAACCAGTTTGGGTGGTGGTCTAACAACCTGCAGTCCAGTCTATATGGTAGATGTCCTGTAACGGATCCACACTGTTGTTTCAGAGACGCTCTCGGAAGGACAGAGTCCCCCTCCAGGACTCTGAAGGACGGTCCTCTTGTACCACAGAAGTGGTGGGGGTCCTGGTCCAGCCGAAGGAGCCGTCTAGTCTGAGCGTAAAGGAGGAGACCATGTTCCAGAGGGGACGAGAGGACGAAGACCTGGATGCCAAAATCACCCGACGAGTTCAGAGAGCTGTTAGAAGAAAGGCCAAACAGGAGCAGCTGAAGAGACTCCACAAAGCTCAGGTGAGTTCCCTGAGACAGTCAGGGTAAAGACCAGGTCCCCATGAGGACTGAGACACATGGTTGTCTTCACTGACTATGAGATCTGGTTCAAAGCTCCTTCACAAACGGGACTTTGAGTTGAGCTCTTACTGAAGTTTCCCTCTTTTACTCATCAGTTCTGAAGTCATCTTACAGTTTTTCTCAGTTGCGTTGGTGCATTTCTCGAATCATCCTTAACATTTGCAAAACAGTAAGTGCATTTCTCAAAACAGGTAGTACAAACGGCACAACACAGTGGATTACCTGCAAAAGCCCAGAACTTGCTCAAAATCCTTAGTCTATCTCTCAAAAGCAAATCTTTATTTCATTGAACTTGTCAGTGCCTCAGAACGACAAGTCCTTGCGTCTCGTTTATGAACAAGCAAGTCAAAATGTTTAGCCATCTTGTCAATATAACTGTGTACTCTGTAAGTATTTTCTGATGTACACAGTTATACATTGCAGGAGAGAAAACAGGAATCTGTAATTTGTTGACAGAGCATGTCATTGTAATACAGAAAAGAAAGAGACAGGACTGTTGCCTGTTGTATCACAGATTCTCTTCCACATCACAACAGATATCTTCATCAATTCAGGACACATTTACAAAATAATTCAAATAGACACGTATAGAATGTCTATCTATATATACATTCATATATATACATACGGAAGCCCTAATCAAATATTTTTTTACTCTGTTTTCCTGTGATAACAGGATAATTTTCTCGTGATTTCAAGATAACCATAATGGTAATTATAGTGTGGTTTGCAGTATCATTGGTTAGCTCATTTGGTAGAGCACAGGACTTATAGTCTTACTGTAAGGTTTTGTGTTCAATCAATTTAATCATAATCCTCTTCAACAATTAATTATTCCGTTCTCAGGAGAAAACAACATTCCTTATATATATATATATATATATATATATATATGTATATATATATATATATATATATATATATATATATATATATATATATATATATATATATATATACTGTTCACTGGTATTTATGGTCTTGTGGGAGAATGGTCTGAGTGTTGCTACTGTGGTGTTGTTGTCTATACTTACTTTATTTATGGTCCGTTGATCTGAGAAATGCACCAAAGCGACCGAGAAAAACTGTAAAGCACTTCTGTTTTTAGTTTAACCAGCGGAGTTAGTCCTTCAGCCCAGCAGGTGGCAGCAGAGTCAAAGGGACCCTGAACCAGCTTTAATCTGTTGGGTTTGGGTCAGATGACCTCAGGAGGGTTCGGTTTGTTTTTGGTGTGAAAGCTGTCCATCAAACTAAGACCGAGGGCCACCTGAGAAGGACTTCATGTTTCTTCCTCTTGATTTGTTTGTTAAAAGTCAACATGGTAAACATGTACCGGACCAGAACTGAAAGGTCTGGACCAAATGAATCAGCTACAGGTGAGACAGGTGAGAGTCTGGTCTCTGCTGGTTTCAGATGATCCAGAGGCAGCTGCAGCAGGTGGAGGAGAAACAGAGACAGCTGGAGGAGCGAGGAGTGATGGTGGAGAAAGCTCTGAGAGGGGAAGCAGGTACAAATAAACACATATACAGTATATAAACACAAATAAACACATATACTGTATATATACAAATAAACACACATATACAGTATATATGTAAACAAATAAACACATTATACAGTATATATATACAAATAAACACACATATACAGTATATATATGTAAACAAATAAACACATTATACAGTATATATAACCCTAACCCTAGATTGATTGGTTGATCTCAAACATGCCAAACTCACCTCAGGTCTGCTGAGACAGTAACAGCTGAATTCACCATGAATGTGACAAATCAAATCAAATCAAATATGAATAAAATGACGATCTGGTCAAATGTGCAGACAGAACAGTCTTTGTCTGAATGTGCGAATGAAACTACCAGCAGGTAAACAAGTGCTGTCATACAGGTGACTGCATCGTGTAACCAATCAGCTTCTAGTTTCTGAACCTGCGCATTATCAAGTAAATGAAGTAAAGAAGGATTTGACTGAACTCACCTGTATTTCTGTCAGATTACTGGGGAGACGACAACGACGGGCAAGACATCGAACTTCACCTGGGAGGTTAGTTCACCTGGTAGTAGTAGTATCACTATAGTATACTAAAGCAAAGTACATTATACTGCAGCATGTGAGGGGCAATACCAGACACATTGTACATTACATGGTTGTGAAGACTAACTGTTTGGGTTGGAGACTAACTGGTTGGGTTGTAGACTAACTGGTTGGTCTGAAGACTAACTGTTTGGGTTCCAGACTAACTGGTTTGGGTTCCAGACTATCTGGTTGAGTTGCAGACTAACTGATTGGTTTGCAGACTAACTGGTTTGTCTGAAGACTTAACTGGTTGGCTTGCAGACTAACTGGTTTGTCTGAAGACTTAACTGGTTGGCTTGCAGACTAAATGGTTGGGTTCCAGACTAACTGGTTGAGTTGCAGACTAACTGGTTGGGTTGCAGACTAACTGGGTGGTCTGAAGACTAACTGGTTGGGTTCCAGACTAACTGGTTGGCTTGCAGACTAAATGGTTGGGTTCCAGACTAACTGGTTGAGTTGCAGACTAACTGGTTGAGTTGCAGACTAACTGGTTGAGTTGCAGACTAAGTGTTGCTCTGAAGACTAACTGATTGGTTTGCAGACTAACTGGTTGGTCTGAAGACTAACTGGTTAGGTTGTAGACTAACTGGTTGGTCTGAAGACTAACTGTTTGGGTTCCAGACTAACTGGTTTGGTTCCAGACTATCTGGTTGAGTTGCAGACTAACTGGTTGAGTTGCAGACTAAGTGTTGCTCTGAAGACTAACTGATTGGTTTGCAGACTAACTGGTTGGTCTGAAGACTAACTGGTTAGGTTGTAGACTAACTGGTTGGTCTGAAGACTAACTGTTTGGGTTCCAGACTAACTGGTTTGGGTTCCAGACTATCTGGTTGAGTTGCAGACTAACTGATTGGTTTGTAGACTAACTGGTTGGTCTGAAGACTTAACTGGTTGGCTTGCAGACTAACTGGTTGGGTTCCAGACTAACTGGTTGAGTTGCAGACTAACTGGTTGGGTTGCAGACTAACTGGGTGGTCTGAAGACTAACTGGTTGGGTTCCAGACTAACTGGTTTGGTTCCAGACTATCTGGTTGAGTTGCAGACTAAGTGTTGGTCTGAAGACTAACTGGTTGGTTTGCAGACTAAGTGTTGGTCTGAAGACTAACTGGTTGGTTTGCAGACTAAGTGTTGGTCTGAAGACTAACTGGTTGGTTTGCAGACTAAGTGTTGGTCTGAAGACTAACTGATTGGTTTGCAGACTATGTGTTGGTCTGAAGACTAACTGATTGGTTTGCAGACTAAGTGTTGGTCTGAAGACTAACTGATTGGTTTGCAGACTAAGTGTTGGTCTGAAGACTAACTGGTTGGTTTGCAGACTAAGTGTTGGTCTGAAGACTAACTGGTTGGTTTGCAGACTAAGTGTTGGTCTGAAGACTAACTGGTTGGTTGGAAATCTTTGTTCTTGTTTTGGTGACCTGTCTGGTTCTTCTGTCTTGTTACTAAGTTGATGCACACCTTGCAGCCAATCACAATCCAGTATTCTCAGTACTATATTTATACCACAGTGGCACCATGTAGTAGTACTACAGTACTACACTCTATTAAATTATACTACTCCGTACTGTACCACACATACTGACCTCCACTTGACATACTATAGTATACTGCAGTGTACTTTTATACTGTACAATACAGCACAATTATAATATACAATACTGTGTATATTCTGGATAACCAGTCGGTCTCGCTCCCTGTAGGACTGGGTAAACTGGATAATCCGGCCCTGATGCAGCAGTGGTTCCAGTTGGTCCAGCAGAAAAACTCTCTGGTTCGATATGAATCTGAACTCATGATTTTGTGAGTATCTGACCTTTAAATCAAGCATCAGGTTCAGGTTTACCAGGATGATTCAGGACTGGATCTGGTTTTCTGGTCTCTGCTGTGTTTCAGTGCTCGGGAGTTGGAGCTGGAGGACCGACAGAGTCGACTGCAGCAGGAGCTCAGAGAGCGGATGGCCGTGGACGGTAACATCATACTGTTTCTGATATAAATCCTAAAAACTGTCCTCAGGAGATAAACACCATTTAACACACGATGCTGTATCCATAGAAACATCAGAGAGTAACAGATCAGCTAGGTGGCGACTCACGTAATCATTTAGAGATTTAGATCAGCTCATAACAGAACAGAAGTGATGTCTAACTCTAGATTAGATTTTTAGATTCTAAAGAAATTTTTTTCAACATTAGTAGGTTGGACAGAATCTGCTGCACGGACAGAAAAATTTGTGTGAAACAGGTTTGCAGAGGTGGAGGCTTCTTTACCTCCTTGTACAACCTGTCCTCTCTACATTCATAGACAAAAACATTCATACTTTTAGGATTTTAGACTGGGAGGTTTTGAGGAGGTCCGAGGTGTGGATGAAGACCACCTGATCCATAATATAGCCATCTGTTGGTGCAGACGTAAGGCACGTAGAGTCCGTGGTTTGAATGCTTCTCCAGATATTAAAGACTATCCAGCGAAACAGTCTGGTGAATATTAACCCTGTGTGTCCGGTCTGTCCTGGTTGTGTGCAGACCACCTGAAGGAGGACTGGGAGCTGCTGGAAGAGCGTCTGATCCTGGAGGAGATGTTGGAGGTGGTGGAGCAGAGAGACTCCCTGGTGTCTCTGCTGGAGGAACAAAGAGTGCAGGAACGGCAGGAGGACCAGGACCTTGAGGAGGTCATGATGAACCGAGGAATGGGACTCAGCTGGACCTGAACCTGGGGGGTTTTCTGTAAAAACCTGAACTGGTCTGCATTGATGTCATAATAACTACAAAACTGACTTTATCGAAGATTGATGTCAAAACCATTTCACGTTACTGTGATTCCATGAAACCAGGAAAACCTTCCCAACAGTCCAGACCTGTTTCTGGACCTGATCTGAAGCGGACTTGTGGAAACCCAAACCAAACTTCTTCCGTCTTCCTTCTTCTTCCAATCAAATGTGCCGGGTCAGACCCAGAACAATAGCTTCCCAACTGAGTTTGACTAATTGTTCAATAAATTAACTGAATAAATTTAAATGAAGTCCTTTGTGATGTCGGACATCAGACCTGATGAGTCTGCAACAGTTTCTGACACTGGATGTTAGCTAATAAGCTACAATAGCTTCCCCTCTTTTGACTCTCCGGCTTGCCGTCCTGTCAGGATGGCTTGCTGGGTAAATGCAGCTGGTGTGTGAACTCGGCACGTCTCTTTAAAATTAAACACCAGAATTTAAAAAGTTTAAATAAACTAAATTATGTTTAAACTAGTTGTTCTGACGGTTAGCATATCCACCAGCCAGCAGGGGGCGCTGCTCGGTTACTGTCAGTCACCTCCATTGGAACCATTTAGATCTCTTTTGATCCAACAACACATGGAGCACGTGGCGTTTGCTGTTGAGCTAATCCCTAACATGCTAGTTTGATGGAAACATGCTAGTGCTAGCCAGCCATAATAGCCTGCCAAATTAGCTAGCACGCGTGACGTAGTGCTAACTACCAGTTAGGGGAGCATCTATGTTCTGTATGTTCTTATTATGAAACATTAAGAGACCTTCAAAGGATTTTATGTTCGCAGCAACTCGCTCCTCTCCTGGCCTCACCTGAACCCGGTCTGTCCTGGTCTGAACTGCTGTAAATCACCCCCTACTGTATTCCCTGTCGTCAGTCTGGCCTCCGTCGGTCTCAAAGACTGTGTTCGGACCCAGTCCATGTTCACAGGGAGGCTGCTGAGCCTGGTTCCCTAGTGCGCTCAATCGGCTCCGGTCTGGTACTAAGTCTAGCGCCCCTCTCCTCGCCCTGGGCCTTAAAACCTCCTCCTCCCAGAGGTCCAAAGCTCCCGTACTAGTGGCGTAAACCAACACCGACCCTCCCCCGGTGCTCCGATCTCCCAGGCCGGGTAGAGTTTCAGGTTTTAGTTGCAGACTGAAGGGGCCCCAGTTTTTTCCAGGTGAAATGTTCAGTTTGTGTTTCCCCAGGTCAGGATGTTGGAGTTAGTTTGTAGCCTACTGATGTTCCTCTCCCTCTAACCCAAACCCTGAGATTGTGGCGAAGACTTTAGACGCTGTCCACAGTGGCTGAACAGATTTTTACCACTGCATTTAAACCGTCCACCCCGCTTCGATCTTTGAAATAGGACCCTGGGAGCTCAGGGCTGAGCCGCCTGTACAGCATCTTACAGACTTCAAACCCGTCCTGAGTACAGAAGTGCTTCTGCACACAAGAACACAAATGACTTCCTGTAACCAGAGTAACTGTGTGTGGTGACCGGGCTTCAGCTGTGTTGGTGTTTAATCAAAGATTCAGTATTAAATCGAGGTTCAGCAGGTTATTAAAGTTATTCTGACATTTTGATTACTGTGCCAACTTCATCAGCTGTTGATCAGTTCTACCAAACTTCACCTATCAGCCTTACTTCACCTGATCACCTGATCAATATGTGTTTATTAATCCTGTTCATGTAAAACCATTAAAGTCGTGTGTCTGTGGTGAGCTGATGCTCATAATGCAACTTTAACTGCAGCCTTCTTGGATAATAAAATATTCACATCAGGTTTCTGGTTGTTGGGTTTTATTTCTGTCGGACTGCAGAGTGTCAACACGGATCAGCCTGAGACGGGATTGTGGACTGCAGTACTCTGTGATCAGGTCACATGGCAGTCTGTGATCCCACAGGTGCTCTGAATGAAACAAGGTTTAACCCAGTTGTAGGTGACGATCTCCTGTGGAACAACAGGGGACGAAGCCTCCTGGGTCTGTTTGGAAGCTTTGAGTTCAAAGGTTCTGCGTTTCGAGTCTGAGGCAGTCTGCAGGAAGAGCAACTTCCGATTTCACAGCGACACCACTTCCTGTGTACACGAGGAAGTTCAGCCCCTGACAGAGACAGTGATGGTGCGCTAACACAGCGCCGAGTCTGTCCTCAACTGCTCCAGGACCTGTTTCAGACTCTCCCTCAGGACCAAAACCTCATGACACATGAACAGCTGACCTCATCAACGAGGACCAGGACCCCCGCCTGCAGACCTGATCCTGATTCTGATTTGTAGTTTTTTTACATATTGTAAATAAACTGATTGAGATGAACACGCTGCCATGTGCACGTGATGTTTACGATGACAAACGTGTTTGTTCATGTGACTGTAAATATATAACGAGTCAAACACGTCAGAGTGTTTTATCTGGTCCTCGAAGTCTCTGCAGACCTTTGGTCCACTCTCTGGTTGTAAGCTTGAATTAGGTGCTTGATCTTCAGCGTTCTCTCTCTCATCAAAATAAAATAATAGTAAATAATAAAAATAAACTCATTTAAACTGATGTTCCTTATTCGGACCTGATGCTGTTCTCATGCCTGTCAGTCAGAGATCAGGGCCGGTGCTCGTGTTGAGGTGGATTAATGACTCTGAGCTCATCAACAAGGCCAGCAGGTGACTCATTAACTTATTTACTGCAACATCTGTTGTTCGATGACTACAGGACTCTGCGTGCTGATTGGTCCATTGGTATAACCACAAAGTGTTCCACCAATGATGGATCCAGCTCGCACAGAGGCACACTGACCCTGGACCTGAACCTGGACCACTGGCTTATCAATAACACAGCAGATGGGAAATATGGGAAGATGACGTCATCACGTTCACGTTCACGTTCGTGCTGCAGGGGGCCGTCAACAGGACCTTCCTCATCCTGGATCTGCTGCTCGTCTTCATCACCGCTCCCGGTCTGAGGACGTGGCAGACCTATGGGCGGGACCGCGACCAGGGACGCAGCTGGGACTTTCCTCACCGAGGACTCCCTCCTTCCGCGGCCAACAGCCAATGAGAAGCCAGTGCGATGACCGAGCCCTCTGACGTCATTGAAGTAAAGTCATGAAGTGGACCAATCGCAGCGGGAGAAGTGTTCCAGCCGGCCCCGGATTGGCTGCGGGAGGACGGGAAGTGTTTGTGTGATGGTCGGAGGAGAGAAGAGAGCCGCGAGCCCAGCAGGACAGGAACAGCGTCCAGGTGCACGAGCTCCAGCCACGCAGGTGAGAGCTCAGCTGTTTGTGGGTGTGTCTGTGAGCTGTGCTGGTTTTTACGGGACTGGCTGACGAACCAGAACCAGCTCCAGTCTGAGGACCGGAGGATCTGAGCTGTCCTCAGTCCCCGCAGGTTAACGGTCTCTCTCTCCATTTCCCGGTGTGCGTGTTTGTACCGCAGGACAGACTCTGGTGGGTTTTCACTGCTTAGGAAGAGACCTGCTGGGTTTCAACATCACGGCGAGTCTCGATCCATTCAGGCAGGAGAAACTGGCTGCAGATGAAATAAAGGTGTTCACAGGATGAAACCTGAGTAAGAAGTACTTCAGTAGAAGTATCTCTGCTGTAAAATATACTCGGTCCTGTAATGAAGAAGTATCAGAGATCAAAGTAAGCAGTACTTTAATCTTACGTGATGTACTGTTGGGCTTTAATCTGTGAAGTGATCGTTTATTTCCTCTTCAGCTGGAAGTACTATCATTCCCTCTGACATGCAGTACAAGTACACACTCGGTAAAACAGCATGAAGTACCTGTGAGTAAAAATACTTCATTTCCAGCACTGCTGCAGCGTTTCTAGAGCAGTAATTTAATGTTACTTCATATACTGGTATAGTATTTATATCCTTTATACACGCTCTGCATGGCGTACAGTGGACAGATACTTCAGTTAAAGTACCACGTGACCCAGAGCGTTCCCACAGTTCCTTTAGTTCAGATCAGTCAGCCTGCGTCTCAGTTTCTCCTCACAGCTCATTGTCAGAACGAGAGAGATGAAATGTCCTGTGGCTGAGAACAGCCTGCCGTCTGCTCTGTGGATTTATACAGCTGGTTTTTGGACACGTTTCAGATTAAACATTAAAGATCATTCCTGCATGAAGGGTTAACCCGCTGCGGTTCTGACCCGTGCAGGTCCGACATGTCCCCGTGGCCCTGTCAGCCCTGACCCCTCTGAGTCTCTGTCCCGCAGGATGATCCGCCCTCTGCTGATGTGCGTCGTCCTCTGCGTCGTCTCCGGCAGCAGCAAACCCACAGAGAAGAAGAGTCGGGTTCACGATGAGGAACCTCTCAGCCTCGTCGAGCACGACGACCGCAAGAACTACGACTACGACCACGAAGCCTTTTTGGGTCGAGATGAGGCCAAAACCTTCGACCAGCTGCCCCCGGAGGAGAGCAAGCGGCGGCTCGGGTGAGTTCAGACGCCGCCGGCCTGTCGGCTCGCTGCTGTCGGTCATCTCTCTGTGTGTTTGAACAAAACGCCGCCGTGTCTCCCTGCAGCATCATCGCGGAGAAAATCGACGGGAACAAAGACGGCTTCATCTCGGAGGAGGAGCTGAAGGTTTGGATCAAATCCGCTCAGAAGAAGCACATTTACGACAGCGTGGAGCACCAGTGGAAAGACTTCGACGTTAACGGCGACGGGCTGATCAGCTGGGAGGAGTACAAGAACGTGACGTACGGCAGTTACCTGGGTAAAGAGCGCACCGGCCTGTTTCACCCCGTCACACTCCGAGTGAGCCTCTGATCACTAACCTGACCCGTTTCCTCTGACAGACGACCCTCAGGCGGACGCAGAGTATAACTACACCCACATGATGGCGAGGGACGAGAGGCGCTTCAGAGTCGCTGACGTAAACGGAGACATGAGCGCCGACAAGCAGGAGTTCACGGCGTTCCTCCATCCTGAAGATCACGAACACATGAAGGACGTTGTGGTGCAGGTGAGAGTGATGTCACCGAAGTCACTGACACGATGTCACTGACACGATGTCACTGACACGATGTCACTGATGTCACTGACATGATGTCACTGACACGATGTCACTGATGTCACTGATGTCACTGACACGATGTCACTGACACGATGTCACTGATGTCACTGATGTCACTGATGTCACTGACACGATGTCACTGATGTCACTGACACGATGTCACTGATGTCACTGACACGATGTCACTGATGTCACTGATGTCACTGATGTCACTGATGTGACTGATGTCACTGATGTCACTGATGTCACTGACACGATGTCACTGATGTCACTGACACAATGTCACTGACACGATGTCACTGATGTCACTGATGTCACTGATGTCACTGACACGATGTCACTGATGTCACTGACACGATGTCACTGATGTCACTGATGTCACTGATGTCACTGACACGATGTCACTGATGTGACTGACACGATGTCACTGATGTCACTGACACGATGTCACTGATGTCACTGACACGATGTCACTGATGTCACTGATGTCACTGATGTCACTGACACGATGTCACTGATGTCACTGACACGATGTCACTGATGTCACTGACACGATGTCACTGATGTCACTGACACAATGTCACTGACACGATGTCACTGATGTCACTGACACGATGTCACTGATGTGACTGATGTCACTGACACGATGTCACTGATGTGACTGATGTCACTGACACGATGTCACTGATGTGACTGATGTCACTGACACGATGTCACTGATGTCACTGACACGATGTCACTGATGTCACTGACACGATGTCACTGATGTCACTGACACGATGTCACTGACACGATGTCACTGATGTCACTGACACGATGTCACTGATGTCACTGACACGATGTCACTGACACGATGTCACTGACACGATGTCACTGATGTCACTGACACGATGTCACTGATGTGACTGATGTCACTGACACGATGTCACTGATGTCACTGACACGATGTCACTGATGTGACTGATGTCACTGACACGATGTCACTGATGTCACTGACACGATGTCACTGACACGATGTCACTGACACGATGTCACTGACACGATGTCACTGATGTCACTGACACGATGTCACTGACACGATGTCACTGACACGATGTCACTGATGTCACTGACACGATGTCACTGATGTGACTGATGTCACTGACACGATGTGACTGATGTCACTGACACGATGTCACTGATGTCACTGACACGATGTCACTGATGTCACTGACACGATGTCACTGATGTCACTGACACGATGTCACTGACACGATGTCACTGACATGATGTCACTGACGCAATGTCACTGATGTCACTGATGTCACTGACACGATGTCACTGACATGATGTCACTGACGCAATGTCACTGATGTCACTGATGTCACTGACACGATGTCACTGACACGATGTCACTGACACGATGTCACTGATGTCACTGACACGATGTCACTGATGTCACTGACACGATGTCACTGATGTCACTGATGTCACTGACATGATGTCACTGATGTCACTGACATGATGTCGCGATGTCACTGACATGATGTCACTGACATGATGTCACTGATGTCACTGACATGATGTCGCGATGTCACTGACATGATGTCACTGACACGATGTCACTGACGCAATGTCACTGACACGATGTCACTGATGTCACTGACACGATGTCACTGATGTCACTGATGTCACTGACACGATGTCACTGACACGATGTCACTGACACGATGTCACTGATGTCACTGACACTGATGTCACTGACACGATGTCACTGACACGATGTCACT